TATATTTTCATATTTTCTCTTCCAGCATTCGAATATGTCATGATCTAAAAATGTTCACAATTTATAACAACTGTTTTCTAATTACCTTAAACATTAGTATTACAAAATGTTTAAATACCTGAGAAATATCTGAAATAATGCTGAACACATAATGAATGTAACAAAACTACTTCAAGCGTGTCATGAGGTGAGACTACTCTAAGGAGGAAAAACTGACAGACTATATAAGTATTTAATTTTCAATTGTAAAACACACATGAAAGTGGAACTTAATAATTTAAAATAAAATTAGGATACTAGATATTGTCATGTATCAATCCAATCTTCTTAACTATAAAAGACTATTCTAACTTTGCATGGAAAACTTAAAATTTCAACTGGATCTGAAGAATGCATTCTCTCCCCCACTCACACCTACCCCTAATAAAAACACATGCCTTAGGTAAGCTTCAATAATGAACAGGGTGGGTGTGTTAATATAAATATTACAGTGCATTGATCCACATCGGCAGCATTTCTTAAGTCTAACCGGAAGGAAATAAACAATGAAAATAAAAGTGCTGCTTCAATGTTCATACCTGAGGTATAGGTGTTAGGCTGCAATTCCCTAGCAGCAGCTCACTGGTGGGAAATAGTACAGTAAACCAATGTTGATATGATCAGAACCAAACCAAACTAAGATGACTTGCTGGCTCAGGTATATATAGCCTTTCTATATGACCTTCAGTTTTCCTATTTGATAAAGAATTTAGAAGGTTTAATGGTACTGAGTAGATACTGTGTATTAGGTTTTATTATCATCTCATTACTGTTTTCACTAGTTCTATAATTATTTATTGATATGGAAAACTATATAGAAACAGTGGTCCTTCAGTTCATATGGAATGAAATTCCCCAATATTTCAAATTATACTGCACTCATTTGGCTACTAATACTGGAGCATTTCCAAAAGCATAGCTATAGTTCCCTTGGAGAGGAGAAGATACAGGATCGATAAATCTTTTTGCCTTACAAGGAAACAGCACTTTCCAAGGCATGCATTCTTGGCAGTCAAATCAACTACAGGCATGTATACATATTACATAAACACACACAGCTACAAATCAATGTTATACTAACAGATCATTGGCAAAGTATTTACAAAAGTTTACAGATTAGGCTCCTTTAACTAACAGTCTTTCTAGTAACTATAGTTGGTGAGATTTCTTACTGCACATGCAGATATTGCTAATTTAACTTCCTAAACCTCCTCAACTCACAGAAGCAAGACATGCAAGGGCCTTTAAACTTTAGGCAAATCCAAGACTCAGATTTCTCTAGATCAGAGTGTCAGAGTGAGGTTTTTTGGTTTTTTTTTGTTTTTGTTTTTTTTTTGATTTAAAAAAGGATGTTTTGGAGAGTGTGCAGAGTAGAACAGGAGTCCACAGTCTGTTTTTCTGAGTCAAGTATTACTGAAACACTTCCATGTCTATTGTTCACAGCCTCTGAGACTGCTATTGCCACTACAAAGGTGGAATCCAATGGTTACAAGAAAGACCGTTTAGCCCATAAAGCCTAAAAGAGTTATTATTTGGCTATTTGCAGAAAAAGTATGACAATGCTTTAAAGGAGCCTTGTAATCAGATCAGGTTTATAAGAGAATTTCAGTAAATTTGGGTGTATCATAGGTACCAGAGGAGTCAATCAGATGCAAGAACTCTCCTTCCCTCCCACACCCATGCACAGTGAGGTCAGGGTAGCTTCTCTAAACAATTTCACCTGCTGATATAGTACTAAGACATAGAATGTTTAAAGGTACACACATTACAAGCTAATAAGGATACTTTTTTTCTAAAGGAATACAAGTTGTAGGACACAGGAACCAAGCTTAACACACATACAAAAATGTGTATTTTTTAAAAAGGTCATTTCACGCTATATACTCTGATGCTGATTAGTTTAGACTCTGCCCACCAACACATCTACTATGTTTGGGAATTCACTATGATCTCCAATACATGTATGTAAGAAACTGTTAAAAATGTGGTTTCAAATCATAAGTAATATGACAAGACTTTCGACAGGACTGAAAAAAAAAGATCCAAAGTAACAGGATAAACAGAATTGGGACAGTGAGAGGTTTTAGCCATCAAGGAGACTCTGTACTAAGAAATACGGTGATTAATTTATCTTAATGTTTTGTAAATTAAAGTATCTATCTTGATGAGCCATATAAAATTAAACACAAACTGCTTAGAAGTGGGGTTTTTAAATTACTCTGCACATAAATTTTTTACACTTTTTAAGTTTAAAATAAGGAGACACACTATCCCAAACATCAAGAAAAGTTGTAAAGAAAACATCAAGACACAAGGAAAAATATTCTATCTTTTATAATTTTTCATCAAAAGCAAGTCACTATGAAAAGAACAACTAAAAAAAGAGCTCACTGAATCAAGTCAGACTACTTAACTTCAAGCCACTATTTAATGAAAAATGAAACATTTTCCTGGTATCTACTGCTCTTTGTAAACAAGCTACTTCTGTAATCTGAAACATCTAACACTTCAGAACACTGCTTTTGAAAACTAGGCCAATAAATTTGCAGAATTTTCTTCTTCAGAGTAGTTTACTAATACAACAATCTGCTCGAACTTAAATTTTAACAGTTCAGAAACAACTAAAAGGCTCAATTATTATAACTAAAATAACGCCATTAAAAACCAAAGAAACATTTAGATGCTTTATCACTGTATTTTATGACTATTAAACATGTATAAAGCAGTAACAACAAAATAAAATTCAAGAAATACAACCAAAGGATATCTGATTTGACAATTACATGAAGATAATTCTGGAAAATTTTTTAAAAACTGAGATACTTGAATATGCAGTCTTCAAACTTATCAGGTTAGAGATTCATATTTAAATTGTATCAACATAGAAATGTTTTAAATCACATCATATTTGACTATACCCAGTTATCAGCAACAAATCTGAGTTCCCCAGATAACTGAAGAGCATTGCTTCAGCCTGGTATGCAGGTCTACTGACCTAAAACTGAATCACCTGTCTTCATGCATTAACAGAGTGAATGTATTCACAACTAACGCAACAGACCTTACACAGGTGCTTCTACTAGTATTTTTATATTTTCTAAGTTCAAAATGTATTCAAAAGGCCATTATATATACATTAAGTGTCAACATCAAAACAAATGCAGATGGTACTAACTTATGATGGTTCAACTTTGGGTTTTTCAAGGTTACAATGGTGTGAAAGTCAGTAGAAACCATATTCAAATTGTCAGTCTCGGTCTTCTGGGCTAGCAGTGTGCAGCATGATACAGATACACTCTCCTGAGATGCGGGGCAGTGACAGTGAAGCAGTCCCAGCACACAGGCAGCTGTGTGATAACGTGGGGAAACAAATGGTGTTTTATAGTGTGTTGGACTGCTAAATTAGGAAGTTCAGTAGGTTGGGTGTACTCAATGCATTTTCCTCTTGATAGTATCAGCTTAGGATGGGTTTATCAGGTTATAACCACTTTGATGTAAGTCAAACAGCATCTGTACTTATAGGAATTCAGTAAATACAACAAATTTTATAGTTCTAATAACTATAATTTAAAAACCATGCCCACATCTTAATCACCATGCTGCTAACTGTAAGAAACAATGGACATAAAAGGATGCTAAAATTAAACCTCAACTTCTTACCAAATGTAACTTGGGCTAAAAACTTTTATTACTGTCAGATGTTTTCCTTGGAAATAAAATATGAAACCAACACAGAAACATTCAAAAAATGACAGACAAGCGTAAAGATAAAGGATGGTGTTCAGCAAATTGGTGCAGAAAATTCAATTAACCTGCTCAGATTCATTAATCATAGAAAACCTCTGAGTATTTCCCAACTCCCCCAGGAGGCCTCCAATAACCCAGTTACTACCATACCACCTCACCTCTCCTCTCCATACAGAGGACTTTGCTGCAGCACATTAGTTTTCTATTCCTTAACTAGTCAAGTGCCACGTAATCCGCAGATAGACATACTGGCAATGGCATGGGTGAATGAAGAGAGTAAGGGGAAGAAGGGTCTTCCCAACTTCTCTCCTGGTACTGAATGCCAAGCTACTTCTCTCCAGACAGCCCTCAGTTTGAGTCCACACTCCCCAAGTTTCTTATATTGACAGTTATGGTCAGGGGCTGAAGATGAGTGAGGGCACATTCCAAACAAGCCAAGTTGGAACTCTGAATGCTTCTGCACTAGAACTTTGTTTATATATAAAGTGGCTATGTTCTGTAGCCTTTTTAAGTTTTTTTTCTCCTGAAAAATAGAAGTTATGCAGAAAACTGAGATAAACTACCTAATTTCACAAAGCTGAGAAACTTTGGCACGAGAGCCCTTGATCCACAGGGTTGTAAGCACAGAAGTTTAGATTACATGCCAAACACTTGGCTTGCCAGCCCAAGGACCAAAGCCTGTTTAGCAGGAAAGTGAGTTCAAGGCAATAGGTTCATTAAAAATTTCTAACATGCTCCTATTACAAGATACCACTGAATTTCTAGCATAATTTCTTCTGAAGATCTTACAAAGAAACTATTTTACAGAAAGTCTTTGTATACTGATGGTATCACCCTTATGTCATAAATAAAGATTTATTAAATTACTATGTAACAGTACAAAGCCAGTTCTAGAAAAGTAATCACAAGCATTTTTACATCTTCAAAAAGATATGTGCATGGGGCACAATGGGACAGTAATAAGCTGACAGCAGTATAAAATGACTAGAGGTTACTCATAATTTACTGTAGAAGTACATGTGGTAAAAATTATAGCATAGAATAACTTTCCTGATTTCTTTCACTCATTTTATAATACACTGGTTTTTGTTGTTGTCATATTCAACTGAGCAATTCAGGGTTAATAATGAACTAATAGTGTTGAAGAACAGGCATGTTACATACATCTATTTACTAAGTGCTTTCAAACCAAAACTACAGATATGAATACTTACTTATCAAAGCTATCACTATTTTTGATGAAGCTCTCCAGTTTTTCCTTGGCATATTCCACCACATCTGAATGAAGCTCAATCCCATGATTTATTCCAAAAGGACCTGCAATCGTAGTAGCATTTTTATAAAAAACATTAATAAGATGCCCTTACAGAGAGCACTTTTAATTTCTGCTCACTTTTCTATCACAGGAGCATTTAAAAAGGGTTCGCTATATGCAAATACCTGCTAGCCACAGATTTAAAATGAATACAAATCAATTTATATCATTTTAATGTAAGAAAAGAAAAAAAAACAACCTGAATTTTCTACCAAAAATTATGACTATTCATAGGTTGAAATCAACGGAGTTCTTCCAAGGGAATAGTTCCATCTGGCAGGATACTACTACCAAAAGAATATTATTTCCATAAGAAATAAGAGCAAGCTCTCTACTACTACTTCCATTTGTCATTTGCCAAAGTTAATTCTGAGATGCCTGAAACCATGGGCTGGCACAGATATGGCTTAAATGCTTCCAGCATCCACACTCCTCCCCAAAAACTACTAAATTCCTAGAAAGCCAAGATCACTTCCTGGGCCTCTGAGACTTCCCAGTGTCCAGCAGAACAGGGCCACCAGAGCTGATCTGACTCTGGTTTCAGCCATCTTCACATTTCCCATTGGTGTTTCTTTTTACACACAACTAGAGACCCAATGACCTCCCAGAAAAAGGGGAACAGGAAAGCACTTTCTCAGCCTCCCTCTGATATTGGGGTGGCATTTTCCCTCACCCAGGCACAGGTTCACTGAGAGTAAGAAAACTCGTAAGGCTGCTACTTCCCACCCCATGACCCACATGAGAGTAACACATCATCGCATCAAGTTATTCTAGTTCCTTTCAAACTTCTGAAATTGGGCCAATCAAGTTTTCCACTTGACATTTTGAGTTACCTGGAGATTGGTCTCCTAGAAGAAGTGTGTGTGTGTGTATTTTCCCTATCTCTAGGAAATACTTATCTGGATGTGCCTCCTATCAAATGTCATTAAAAATATAGTGTACACTGGAGCTGTTTCTATTAACCACTAGGTACTCAAAAAAAATCAGTGTCATAAATTACCATGTCTGGTCAAAAGGCACAGGAAAATAACAGTTTGTGGTCTGGAAGATACCTATAAAAATATAACCTAAACGTATAGATATAATCTTCAAACCAACATAAGCATATATTCCTACTATACTTGATGAGTATTGGATTTTACTTGAAAAAAGTATTCAGATAGGAAGACTAAATGAAAATTACTTGTTCATCAAACCACAACCAACAGAATTAACTTGCCTTGCCATTTAATTCTTACTTTTTAAAACAAATTGTGTGAGGGCCAGCGCCGTGGCTCACTTGGTTAATCCTCTGCCTGTGGCACCAGCATCCCATATGGGTGCCGGGTTCCAGTCCCGGTTGCTCCTCTTCCAGTCCAGCTCTCTGCAGTGGTCCTGGAGGGCAGTGGAGGATGGCCCAAGTGCTTGGGCCCCTGCACCCACATGGGAGACCAGGCAGAAGCACCTGGCTCCTGGCTTCAGATCAGCATAGCTCTGGCCGTAGCGGCCATTTGGGGAGTGAACCAAAGGAAGGAAGGCCTTTCTCTCTCTCACTGTCTAACTCTATCTGTCAAATAAAAATAAATAAATAAATGCATGCATACATACATACATACATAAATTGTAGCAGCTGGCATTGTGGTGTAGCGGGTAAAGCTGCCACCCATGATGCTGGCATCCCATATGGGGTGCAGGTACAAGACCCAGCTGTTCCACTTCCAATTCAGATCCCTGCTAACATGCCTGGGAAAGCAGTGAAAGATGGTCCAAATGCTTGGGTTCCTGCATCCACATGCGAGACCTGGAAGGAGCTCCTGGCTCTTGGCTTTGGCCTGGCCCAGCCCCAGTCATTATGACCTTTGGGGGGAATGAACCAGTGGATGGAAAATCCCTTTCTGCTCTCTCCCTCTGTAACTCTGCCTTTCAAATAAATCTTTTTTAAAAATAATTGTACAGATGGATAAAACGTTAAATATACTGCTTCATGTTTTTGGTTGCTTTATGAGTACTTACAAACTGTTACCCTTCATCTAAAAGTGGAAAATCAGTCCAAAGTCACTTAGGACTTCTTGTTAATTCCTCATTACTACATATAAACTGAGTAAAACTGAAATTTCATTTTAAAAATTAACTGGAAAATAAACAAACTTAGAAAACACACATGTTAAAGCCACTTTTTAATACAGTATTGAATCTGAATATTTTAAAAGCATGAATTTCCATAGTGAACACAGAATGCTTAGAAAAGCCAAATAAAGTTTTCCTTGTTAAAAAAAATTTGAACTGAGTTACAATTTTACATTAAGTACACAGTAAGGAAAATATTTTATGAAATGAATAATTTCCCTTTTGGCTTCTGAAGGATATCCATTGAATGTACAATCTGACAGACAAAATTTTATATTCCCATTACTCATTAAGAATCCAATTATACTATCATTTTTATAAAAAAGGAAAACTACAGGTCACAGATAAAGAGATCAGAAAAGGTCAATATTGTTAGCATTCTAGTTTCCAAGCCTAAGATTGAATGCATAAGCATAATGACCAAGGTACTAAGAATGGAAATCAAGACTTCTCTCCTACATTTCAATCTTCCTTAGCAAGAAAGGAAATCTCAATTTCAAAGTTCTAGGTCAAAAGGAACGAGATACATTGTCCCTCACTCAAAGATGACACTGGCCTCTTTTTGCGTTTCCTTGTTTTCTGCTTATTGTCTAAAGGCAAACAGGCAACTTTTGGAAACAGTTTAAAGCTTTATGAAAATTCCTTAAGGTTTCTTCACATAACTTTTCATATAACCTTCATACAGATGGTTAAATAATGAAAGATAACTTCATTAACATAAATATTTCATTAACATAAAAAGATTTGTTTCACAAACAATATAAATATACATGTAGATATACTATGCATTAATATCTAGTATCAACACCACTTATGACTTTTTAGGATGGAACTATTTAATTTTAAAATAACAAGAAGGCAAACTTTTATTATGACTTAATAATCTGAATTGTCATTAACACTGAAATAACTGGAAAGGAGAATACATTAACAAAAGGCAGAATTTAAATTGCAATGTCACTAATATCTCATTTATTTAGAATGTGATATACAACTAGAACACATCCAGTGTATGAGAAAAATGTGATTCAATGCTGATTGTTACAACTCATATTTGACATCTGTACTAAACAGAACAACAGAAAAATAAGAGGAAACCTGAAAAGATATACATAATGGCTTCTGAGGAAGGTAACTTAAAGTATTTTACCCACATGCATGTATAATTTTTTCAATCAAAAAACAATGGACCAGTATAAAAGATTAAAAATGAACATAAATGTCCACATAAAACAAAGTTATATATATGTGTGTGTGTGTGTGTGTGTGTGTGTATAACTAAAGGTACAAGTTTTCAAAAGGAAACAAAAGTGAAGCGGTATCCAAAAGGAGATGTTAACAGGCCAAACGAAGCATAAACTTAACTTTATATTCAACAGATTCCAATGTTATTTTATATTTGCCAATATGAAGAAAAATTTGTCTCTGAAATAAGGGCTTAATTTTTGTAACATGTATTTAAAAAGAAAATGCTAACAACTGACCACTATCTTAAACAACTAAAAGAGAAAATAGAAACATATACAGAAGTCAAAGTTTATTAACACAAACTCTGTTATTAGAAATATTTAAGTATACTGTATATAGAAATCATCTTTAAGACTGGAAAAATCCCATTTATTCAAAACAATAATACAATAAAATTCCAGTATAATAAAATCTAGAGATTGTTCTTCTTTCATAATTGAATCTAATCTAATCTAACTCATTTACAATCCACCAGCTAGTCTATAACCAGAACTTATATATAAAACAGTAATTATTAGGCTTCAGTAAGTTTCTATGCAATATGTTTATTTCTTATTTACATCTATGTCAACCTCCTGTGAAGTTCCTCAGTTTGAAAGCCTGGTATCGAAGGGGTAGAAATCTGCCTGAGGTGGGTAAAAGAAACCTGGGAGGTTCACACCGCGTTTGAATGAAGTTCACTGTGCCTTTAGTACTTTGTGTAAGGCTAATTTACAGAACACAGCCACAGGAAAAAAGCACTTCATGATATGGAACTAGAGGAGCTCTAAAGATGAAATCATTCAAGATTCCTTCTTCAGTTGAGGACCCTGAAGCTAGACTACAGTATGGTGAGAAAGCAGATTTAAGATGACTGGGTTTCCAATTCTGGTTCCACCTATTAACCGGTGTGTAATATGAGCAGTCAGAAACCAATCCTACCATATACAAGGCATTCCTGGGAAAAGTCATGTAAATTATGGACCACTTATGTGCCTGATGCAGTATACAGTACAAGGTGACTAACAAGCTCTTGACAGAAATTGGGATGTGCCTTCCATCCCTACGTATACAGAGTTGAGTTGATTAGTAGAATCAAGATTATAACCCATGAAAGTGATTCTCAACTCTGGCGATAAAAGTAATCTTCGAGTTTTAAAATTAGATTAGATTTTAATTATGAATGCAGGCAGGTGAGAAACAATCTCTCAAGGTGTAGTCCGGGAGCTAAGGTAACCCTAACATACTGCTGGGGTTCAGCAGTACTAGCCACAGCCTCCTAACTATGAAACCCAATTGAAATGATTTTTAAAATCTGCTTTGGATTACTCAACTTTCTGCTTTCACTGGTAAAGGAATACCAAGAGCTAGTATCTGAGAGAATTTTGGCCAATACTGAATATTTACCACAAGGGGGAGTAAGTGAATCAGTTATTTGGTTTCTATGAAACTACAGTAAGAAATATATAAAAAATCTTTCAGTAAATCACAAATTCTGTTATTAATTTTATTTTTTTAAAATAAGGCATCTCTGGGATGACTTATATATTTGAAGGGACAGCAACAGGTAAAAGGCAGACAGATTTTTCTTTTCTTTCTTTCCTTCCTTGAATATCCTAGAGTATAATGTAGACATAAAACAGTCCAAAGGTAGAAAAAGCAAAGGAGA